TTAAGCAGGCTCTTGTGTTTCATCCTTTCACAGTCAAACAAGCATCTCATATAGACTTTGCAGATGATGCTGTACAGTTTCTTATGATCACATATATTTCGTACTTCAATACTCCGAAGTCCACTATAACAAAAAAGCCCATCATATGACCGTGGATTGAAAAAAAAAAATATCAACTACATTGAAGGCAAACCAAATTGAAAAATAGAGTTATCTTTATGTCATATTAGAGGTGAAGTACACTTGAACTACACGTCTTTATGAACCCTCTTTTGCCGTTGGCAAGTACGTTCAGAAGGTCATCTGAAACATCTACGACCTCCAAAGTTATCCTTGGAAAGGGCAGCTGATCCTGATTGAGGAGGGCAATGCTGGCGGCTCAATATTATCATAACAGAAGTGGAATTGTTGCCTACTATTACAAAATGAAAACGTTACAGGTTTTTACCATTAGGTACCCCCGTCATCTTTGCTAGAAGTTCATCGATAGTAAACTATCAAATTTTTAGCGAAATTTTATTCACAATGGCCGGAACTACCCATAATAATTTTGCTGAAAATCATTATAAAGCAATTATTAATTTCAAATAATAATAATGCATTTCAATGATCGGTCGCAGCACCATCATTAATGATATTTATCACGCAACCGCTTTCATCATTAAACCCATACTATTCATAATAACTTAAAAAAGAAAGCCACCTTTATTTCGGAATCTATTCATCTTTTGCTTTGTTTAACACTTTGAACAATCGAGTGATTTTATTCGATAAAAGAACTGGTCCGCCGCTCCTCCTCCGTGTATCATTCAGCAGCATATGTAATAGACATCTATGGAAACAGATAGTCGTCTTCTGAAGTTCACGTCCATAACAGCAGAAGCAGCGGTGGAGTCACCAGCAGTGTAAAAAATGTACCGAGGCGCTCGCTGTTTACCGCTAGAGATAATCATATGTCTACCCAAGGGCCAAGGTCCTTTTTTATTTGCGGCAATAGAAGTGGCCGCTGACAACAGCCATTTGTATATACTAAGCATGACCATCGGCCGAATGAAGAACATAAATCAACTAGGCAAACGATCTACCAACAATGCCAATCAGTACCAACTCATTTTTCGAACGTTATAGAATGAAAAGAATGATTCACCGGTATACAGTGTATGTAAGGCATACAGGGAGAGCACCGTTGGAGCGTCATAGTGCGTACGTTCCGCGTTCAGTATTCTAGTACTTTTAGTTTTAACCACAGTTGGTTTTAAAAATCTAGTTTCGAAAAGAAAAAACAGCGGAAACCAACTCGTAAACTTCTGTAATATCTCTGCTGGCTTTAACGTATCGCGCTGGCAAGGAGAAAGTATTTAACATTACTTCATAACATTCACTCCAAGCTTATTTTTCATAAAATGTCCTTTTTTTACAATTAATTCATTGCTAAGTATTGTGGTTCGCACGGATTATAATAGAATTGATTGTGTAGGCTATTTTTTTTTTTGGTAAAACTGAATTTCCGATATAAGCGTATGGAGAGAATAAATTCGTATATGGGAACAACTTTACGCTAACCGAGGTTCTGTGAACGAAATCATAATTAAAATAAAAGTAAAACATAATTAAATGCTAACTAAAAGCAGTTACTTCGTAGTCCTAAGGTGAACTCTACCCGTTCAGATATTAACCTATCTGACGGTCTGAAGAAAATCGTTACTTTTTTTTAAGATATTCATCATTCAGGTAATTGTGCCGCAATACGGTAATGACTTGCTTACATATCTTTGACGAAAGTAGACTTGCACAGGGTACGTTAATGTATGATAATACTAACGTATACTTGTTTCATGTACGATATTAGAGAGAATCTACAACGCTTAACGGTTCTATGGGTACTAACGGACACATAATTGCTCTAATTTGATTTGTATTTCCATTTCATTCAAATCCGGCAAAAGTAGCTCACGTCAGTTCCAGGATTCTATTAATTCTTTTTGCCTAATTGCCCCAACATTACAGGGGGGCACTCATTACCCGAAGATCTGCTCACTCGAAGATCCGTTCTAACTGTGCCGGTGATTGCTGTAATCGGCTGAACGCGCGGATATTTTGAAATTCCCGCGCATTATAGGCATGGTATCAAGTACGGTAGAAAAACTATTTGACTGACAAGCCCTAAACAAGTTTATTCGGCGAAAATTTAAAACTTAGCAGTTAGTAGAATCAGCAACCTATTGCCCGCCTCAGACACCACAAACAAACGAGCTGGTCTTCTACCGAAAAATGGTCACGAAACTAAAAGGGAGTGGGATTTCCCTTTCCCTTTTTGCGTTCAAAGGTGGGTATCTTAAAATGTACTTACCTCTTAACCCTAAAGATGCTACTGGGCCAAAAAAAGTTTCGAGAAGTCGACTCTGTATTAACTAAACATGCCCAAGTTAATGGCCCAAATCTGAGTCGTTCCTTTTAAGTTAAATTCCTTCGGATTAAGTACACGTATGCCACTGTCCTTCCAGCCTTGATCATGGAGTTTTCTCGAGCAACTTCGTTGCTACAGCGGCTTCTGGTCTCCAGAAACAGTTGTAGATGGGTTTGTATTTAGTCAAAATTTAAGTTCTCCGGTGAAATCCGTCTCGCGTCATTCGTACGAAATGTCGACATCTTTTGCGAACGCACTAAAGTTCATTCGGCCATCCTCCAGCATAATTGCTTTTCTTTCTCATGCCCTCATCTGTGCTTACTATGATAGATCGCTGGGGATAGTTGCCACTTGTATACTCGCGACCGATTCATGGCCTCGTTCTTTTATAACATTAATATTGCTTGTGAGTAGTTGATTTCGACCTTGCCGCAGAATACAACGCTCGGCTATTAGTACGGTCGTTGTCTAAAGTACAAAGCATGACCGCAAGTCACTTAATTCAAGCCATTTGCAAAACAAAGACCACTCGTTCGAATACCTTGGAACCTGGCTTGTGGATAGGAGGCAGGCAAGCGAGTGTGGCGTTACAAGCCTGATTGTGAGGTCATCCATGAATTGATAAAAAGTGTACGTCTGAATGAGTTTTTTACTTTAGTAGTTTTTTACTTTAGTAGTGATAATAACAGAGAAACGATTTTCAACTTCTTGTGCATGCATGCATGCTAATGGACAATATCATATTAGATGTCTTAAAGCTAGGTAAACTGCCAAAAATGCTAGAGTTCTTCTCTTTTTAAAGAGCGGTTATCTAACGAAGCTGAGTAAATCGTTTATATTAGATGTCTTATTAAATTTCGCGAGTTGGCCGAACTTATTACTTATTGGTTTACATTCATTGAAATAGCATACATTAAAAATATCGTCTTCGTCACATTATTACAATTAGCATTATTTAAAATTGCCGCGCTTCTTGACGAGGTCTACCTTCTACAAATTTATATAGAATAGATTTTCAACACGAAAAAGTAAAACAAGGATAGTGTACAGCCCTACGGAAATGCCGATCGTTTGAATTTCAAAACAATAAATGTTCATTGTAAAATTAAAGATTTTTTATCAACGACGCTAATTTAAATCGTAATAATATTAACCTTAAGTTTTTTAAACGTTTCCCTCAGAGAGAGCTGGCCAGCAGGAGACTTAAAAAGCCTTGCAATAGATGTGAAAGCTGAACGGAAATAAATTACGGGCAGTGTTAAATACTGAATTAAGCTAGCAGACTAATAGGTTGTCCGGAGCGGATTAAAAAAACAACAATATTTTGAAATACGTAAAATCTATATCCTTTACGCAATTCAGTCAGCACCCCAGGAACTTTAAACAGCTACGTACTTGTGATTTCAATTACCATACTTTATTTTGTTATCTACCTACAATTTTTTGAGAAAAACTGATAATAGAATACGTTACGCCGCCAATCGTTCTCTTAAAGACAGGTCCGCTTTCAATATCGCACATATTTAGATTTGGAGGCTGAAGCCATCTGTGGATTCTGTTTTCCTTATGACAGACCGTGATTGACGGCTTGGGATGGGATCGTGTGCGGTCGTCGAGCAATCATCACGGGTGCTATCGATCGTTGTACCACACGTCCGTAGGACTCCACAAAAATTCGAAGTGTAGTCCAGCATCGACGGTGTCCTTTTAATGCAATATTCCGTAATAATGAATGTCCTTAGTATAATTACGAGTATGAGCGTCAGCTTATCTGCGAATCTATTCGGCACTGCCACTGAAGTCACTTTGCCTACTGTTTAACGCCATTATCTCGTTTGACACTTCTCGTGTAAACAACACAGACTGACCTATGACGCCCCTCGTTTATGACGACGGTGTGCTTTTGGCGGGCGTTTGCAAGCAATAGCTGTTTCCAAAGTATCTTACACGTGTCCTCATACTTCCTTGACTCAGTTTGTGAGAATCACATGATTTGGCTTTCTTGTTTATATTCATCACGCTAATCATAATTCAACGTTACATGTTTCAAGAAACGTTATATTAAGGCGACAGGTTGCGTTTTGGCCATGCTCCATATCGCTTCAAAAGCTTCCGTTAACGATAACTCGTTTTTTAATTTGAGATTTTGAGGTGTAGTTGCGCTTTCCAAGTTCCCAAGTTCTATTTCCCAAAAGAAGTTTGCAGCAATAATAGCTGTCTTTTTGCTGAAGGCCATCACCTTCAAGAGACAGAAGCCCAGTCAGCACTAAATGATGTTTTTGTCTCTAAATTAATTATTTTTCAGTGGCAGTCAGTCAGCCTATAGATGAAAACAGTGTAGAACTTAACGTACAGTCTCCCTGCTAATGCGACAGAGTCTGAAAGTTATTCAAATATTTTGATTCCCTAAATGGCTCTAAACAAACCAGTAATTAATACCACAACCTTCCCGAGCAGCCTTTCAGTATCGACTCGCTTACATAATGACCAATTTTTTTATATAGGAATTTTTTTTTTACAGAAATGTTGCTATATACATTGCATGCACAAAATCCTTTTGTAAATGCAGCAGCGACAGCTTCAGTTAACTTACAATATTGGGTTGGTTTCATATCTTCAATCCGAATTGAGCTACGTTCTCTATGGTACAGCAACTCAGAATAGTCCTAGAACAATCCATCGCATTTTCCGTATAGCCCACCTCTGCAATCTTTAAAGGACAGAGAAAGCGATAGGACACAAAACATTAATGTGGCAATAATACCTCTTTATTTTTTCAGGGAAGCGGGAAGCCTCATTCCGTGTCAAGGAAGTATTCACGCAGTTTAACTGTATAAATAAAAGTGAGTACCACTTGAAAGAAAGCATGACCCGAAACAATAGTTTCATCTGGGAACAGAAACCGTTGCGAACAAATAAATTATTACCATCATCATACGAATCAGTTGCTAGCAGCTACAAAGCCATGTTCTCTTAACTAACGTAGACATAGAAAAACCGGAGTTATAGACATTAACTGGGACATTTGCAGGAAACGATGCCATAGGTAAGTTTCACTTCGAAAGCGGCCGAACGATGTCACTGCGGTCGTGATACCTATTCGTTATCCTTGGCCTTCTAGATAAATCGCTATTTCATGTCCATGCAAACGGACATCCTTTTGCAATTCGTGCATCCGGTAGAAGTATAAAATTTGCTTGCACACCTAGCCATAGCACACTGTCACGCTTAGCGTCATTACCATCGTCGCAATCTTCTTTGTTTGTCCAAAAGTTAAACGTAAATGTAAGCTGGGCACAACAAGGAAATGTACATCAAGCTCTCAGTCTTGATAAAAGATTAGTTTAGAGGATGTCGCTTTTTTTCTCTCATTTCTCATTTTATCAGACCGCACTGGGTCCTGCTTCCAGCAGGTTGAGCACAACGGAGCAGATGGAGCACGTTAGATTGTTAGCAAAATTAGACTATTTCATATTTGGACTAGGACTTACGATAGGTATACGTTAAGATTAAGTGTTAGTTAATAAGGCTAAGAACTTAACCTTGAAAATGACAATATAAATCTAACTAACAGGAATCTACAAAACAACAAAGACGCTTTGTGTAAGGTATTTATACTTATTTACTAGCCACTTTATTACTTTCGATCAATCATCGGCAAATGAGTCCTGTTTGCGGCCAAACTTCAGTCTAGCCTGTTTCATGGCATTCGACTTGAGTTCGGCCAATGAAAACATCCTCAGTAACGTTTCAGCTTTGAAGGAAGAGCGTATTAATTGCGCTCGCCATGCAAAAAAAAAAAAGATAAAGAGTCAATAAATAAAAGAATCCATAAAGGCAGCTATTTCAATAGTCACTTTAGATACGGAATGTGCCCTTGTGCTTGTTTTTGTTATCGAAGTTACGAAGTGTTTTGTTGAAGGATTGGATTGCTGAAAATGTTGCAATGCGTTTGCAAACGTGTTTAGCCAAAATGATGATTGTCATTTGTGTTAACAGTCATTTTTATCACACGACAATCAGAGTGACTAGCCGTCCAAGGAGTCGTCAAACGCACATGAAAAGCTTCTACAAATAAAGTTTTCAGAAGACGCCCGCTGAACTTTGTGCAGCTCATTGGAGTTTAACGTTTTAAGTTTTTCGTGACACGACGTCGTATGTTTACCAGGAGCGTGTGCAACTATACGATTAGCGACAATAAGCGTACGCTTATTCTTAAGCGTACGCTTATACTAGAACTCAAAAATAATAATCACGTGCCGGTTTTGGTCGAAGTTAACATTTCATTACTTTGTTGTGGTTTTTCTCCTTAACGATTAACCTCTCTATGCGAAACACCTATAAGTTCCCATATCTTTTTGTATCGTGTATATATATACACTAGGATCGTCTTAACGGCACACGAACGGTACTCCTAATCTGTGACCACGATAGCTAGCCTATTCCCTTTAGGTATGATTATGCATTAGAAGTTATAGGACCTTGTACCGATGAGCTCAATGGCTGACGTCTGACACTAAAGTAAGTTCAAAAGGTTACCTCTAGCCTAACAACAACACAAAAACGAAGGAAGGGGATATTCTAAGAATTTGCTCGAGGTAAGTTTACGGCACAAATATTATATTAACCAATACAAATTGATCTTGCTATCTGTACTAGTGAGAAAAGCACAAACGATGTTCAACGTTGTGAAGAGCATCATTGGCCAACAGTATGATTTCTTGTCATACGTTCACGCGTACAAGTACTCGTACTAAATCCTCTTTTACCATTACTAATAATAGTAACACAAGTAATCATACATGTTATGGTATAACCTTAACCTCGTTGCTATGCTAAAGGCAAAGTCTTCTATCTTCACAACAGAAAATATGATAGACCGAATTTTTACAGAGTTCCGTAATGTAACTTGTCATTGCCAGTCAGCACAATGCATTTGCCATTGACAATTTGCAAAAATAGCACAAAAAGGAGGATATCATAGGTGCCTATAGGTGTGATATACATTTGGGAATTTAATTAAAATTAGGCTGGATAACATCTTCATGTAGACTAACTATAAATGACGCGTGCTATTAATAGCGCGTCAACTTCCCTCAAGTGAGCTTTCCTTTGTAAGTTCCGGATCGTCCAGTCGCAACGTGCGGGATTGCAAGTTCATGTTTAAAACACTAACACTGATTGAAGGGTTGAATCCTCAGTTCAATTTATCTGTACTTGTGCCTGTCAGTACGCTACGTACGTTACATCTAACGATGGTTCGCTGTCGTCGCTGCTTTTACCGATAGTGTTCAATCTCCGTGACCCGTTATGAGCTGATGGAAGCGTTTAAGTTTGCTCATGTCTTCCTGACCGGACAGTAACCGTCTGCATAGTCACCATAATGTAGATGTATACACACATCGGCCGTGCATCACGTGACCGCGTTACTTTATAACGGTGTGCGTGCCTGCCTGCCTGCCGGTTCATGTATCTTGTGGAAACAGCGACAGCAACCAAAGAACTTAATGAAGAGGTATAGACGAGTGCAGTGTAATAGATTGCTGCCGCAAGCCAGCGTCAATAACAGAGCAGGGGCTGCTCGACGAAGCATGGCGATCCCTGCCAATCTCCGTTCGCCTTTATTCTGGGAGGAGGTAGGCCATTCGACAAGTGCCACTTTATCGACACCCTCTTCGGTTTCTTGACTATAAGACTATGAATGCCAGCTTTTACCCTTCGGAACTACAGCGTTTGCACTAATTGACAAAACACAGCTTAAACCGATAACGTCGGCGATGGGAGCAATCATAACTGTGCAGGCCAAAGTTGCCAGGGCAGAAGTATATAGGTGCTGCCACTATGCCTACGAGATTACTGGTTTGATGCTATTATTAAAATGATTATTACTTCTATCGAGCGTTGCTATGTTGCACCGTAACTAAGCCGGAGTTGTTGTCGAAGGTGATTTTTCCATGGTGGTATCAATGTTAGCAATATTTACCGTCGTGCCGCTGGCCGGCCAGAGCTTGACAGCTCATTTGCCCGAGCTTTGGCGTTGTGTATGAATAGTGATGGTACGACAGGCTACGATTTGCGCTGGCCGATGCTACTAGTTTTTTCTTATATTGTTAAGAGCTGTTCCCTAAAAAGAGCCGATTTTTTCAAATGACTTTTGCCTCACACGAATGGGTGTGATATAAAATAGGGTCGGCGCCTATTCTGTCACTAGTTGGTGTGTCACATGACACACAACGTTTATGAACGAGCTGTAAAATGTTGCTCGTAAAACAGTTACATATATCTTTAATGTAAATTTTTCCTAGGTGCACTTAGCCGGTGACTATATATACATTTACATCTCGAGATGAGAGGTGAGAAAAAGACCATGAACTCTATACCGTTGTGCTTTATCGGGTAGTGTATTTGGTGTACGACGGACCACAGCTGCAGTTTGTATGAGATGTGAGCGGCGTTTTTTGACCATATGAGTAATCTAGAGTTGGCATTTAGACGTATTCACCCTAGAGTGACTAGGTACCAGCTTTACGGACGATATCAATATGTTAGTCTCTATAAGTATCGTCCTGTGTAGACCTCTGTTTCGAAATTCCGCTCAGTTGCTCGTGCGAATATGCGAACCGACCTCACAAGCCACGTGATCACGGTAACGGGTAGCCGTGCGGTACGCGTCAAACCAGCAACGATCAGATGATCACGCGACCCAACCCACTCATGTGAGACAACACGTTTACGCTCGAGTACGCAAATTGCTCACTTGAAGAATATCTGTCTCGACAGATAACTACACGCGGGTAGGCATTCGAACAGAAGTGCAACGTATCTCCAATGAGGGTCCGTTCACTAAAGTTCAATAAGGTAAACGCATACGTGTCTCAACGTCCAGTTATTATAGCTTCACACAGATAGACCGAAAAAACCTGGCCATTTATTTTGCATAATTAGAAAAAACATTTTTATCATATCAAGAAAATAAAATACTGTGTGCCTGAAAATCAGCTGGCCTTTTTTGCACCGTGCGCCTGAACTGTCTGAAATTAACGTCGTCCCATTATCGTGTCCCAAAGGATGACTCATTTTATTTTAGATGCAAAGACAATCTACTTTTGATCAACCAAAATTATAGTCTCAGATGAATAGGAGCAGCCGAAGAAGAGCCTTTTTTTGCACTAGGTACATAATATTTCGGCAGCTATCTAATGCGCAGTCCAAGATTTTAAAAGACCATCTATATTAAATTTTCTAGGAATTATCAACATAATCCTTTGATAAAAAAGATCACATATCTAGAGGCGGCAGCTTCTATCTAGAACCCATAAGAAAACTTATCTTTTCAGAACCAAGACCATTGCAATTAACTAGATAATAGAAAACAGATTGAACGTTCCCAATCATAGATAAACAAATAACGTAAGCTGGTTAATATTAGACCGGATGGAATGGTCAAGCAATGGCGAGAAATCATTAAAGCAGAAATGCTGACTATTTCCAGACTAGAAACCCATCGAACATTTCTGAGAACCCTGTTCTCGCAGTGTCTAGAACCCCTAGGTTACTACGTACCTATAACCCCCCAACTCTACATAAAACCGTCCCATAGATACAAGATCCATTTAATCAAGCTACTCACACGAGCATCTATAGCATAAAGTGAACTAGTAAGCACCTATCAGACCTTCCGGCGGGAAATATTTATCGACATCCCACAGC